CTCCTTACTTCCAGGTGAAACATGTAAGACTAACATTGTGAGTTGTGGTTATGAAGAAGATAGATGTATGAGGATTAACTACAAAGTCGGTAACGAATTGATGACTGACGAACGTTGTTACAGGTCCTCGGTTTGCTTCGATTCTTCTAAGATATGTGCTTTAGTGAAAAAGAATAACACAACTGTTAAAGATTGTAAACCGACCTGCTGTGATAAGCCCAATTGCAATGCAGTTATTGAGCCAGGTAATTCCGATAACATGCCGATTCCAAGTTCCGTTTTAGTTACCTGTTTGATTGTACTTGTTGTTATGCTGAAAATGTAATGTGACTTTCATTTCGTTCGTTCGTATCGCAGTTTTGATAACTATATACCGTACATATATACATTAAGCTCTTGCTAGAACCACATTTAAAATGCAACACATATAAATTGATGATTTTGATAGTGTAATGATAAAACTGTCAACATGTAATTTTATACTTTTAATAATTAAATGAATATATAATTTTTCTTAATCGAAGCTTGGCTTCTTACAAACCTAAACTCACCAATCAGATCAGGGTCACAACACTACCACACAGAATCACGCGCAGATAAGCTAGCTTCGCAGACGCCCGCCTCTTTTGAACTTCATATACCGCGCTCACTTGACGAGAGAGGTTCTGAAACTTTTCAGTTTCTGTGAGCTTGCAAACAAAATAAACTTCCATTTAGACACGTTCAAGGTCAGTAAATTTCCACTTGACCATTCTAATACCTTCAGAAGCCCAAAAAGGGCTGATGCTCAGAAAAAGTATCCAAGCGATGGTACCGAGATTTCAAGTCAAATTTTGTGCAAACGGACCCACTTTCGAAATACTGCAGTGCAGTACTAGTACGCCAATCTTCAAATTTTATATAGTTTGCTTGTAGACATGCATGACTGTACTATTAAGTCATGTTCTTCAACCTGAACAATTCCGTCATCGATTAGTAATTGAGTTATAGAATCAAACAAAACCTGCTAATTATCAAAAGAAGACGAGTTATTTGAAAAAAATAGCTGGATTGGAGATTCGCGGAAAAGGTATCTTGTATCCCTCATGAATAGTATCAAAGGCGAAATCTGATGCTTCGATATCCGTCCATAATATTAAATAGATGGATGTATAGCTAGATGGCCACTTATACATCTTCCTTCTCCGTCCCATTAAGCACATATACACAACATTGATGGCAGGCAACGTGCAAACACTTGCCTGCCCCTTGATAAAACAAAGAAGGGTAATAAATTACCTCGAAAAAACAATTGATCGTTGGAACCACGACTATTATTATTAAAAATGGCGTCGAAGGTTGTCTCGCCTTATCTTTCTTGATGGCATTTTGACGGCGTTTACGAATAGCTGACTCTTGTACTTTTCTGATCTTTTTTCGTCATCATAATCGCAGGCGAGGTCGTCTGCTTTCATAGCCAACCAGCCCGCCACATTCTTGTCTGCCAATTTAATTGTCGCTGCCGTAAAAGCTACATCTCAATCTCTACAGTTAGAACGACAGGCCGAAGGCAGAAGTCTCAAATTTCCCGACAGTCAAGATCAATTTTTGTCCAACAACGATCAATTTTTGTCCGCTTCGTTGAAGAATGAAGATACAGCAACGACGTTAAAATCATCGACGACGTCGATAAACGCTTAAGCAGGATTGTGAATGAGATGCTTCCCACTAAGCACATATACACAAACATTGTTGAAAAAAAAAACGCAAACACTGATCTAGAAGCTTATCGGCGTCGTCGAAAGATTTTAACGCTGTTACTGTCCATATAAGACTTCCGCCTTCGACCTGTCATTCTAACTTTAAAGATTGTGATCGAGATGCTAGGCTTAAGCTAGAGAACAAATGCTCGTTTTAAACTGATCAAATACTGCTGAAGTAATTGAAGCATATCAGGCGAATCGTTTCGCACAGAGTCCCCTTCTGACATTCTCCAAACACACACATATATTTTGCAGAAGGAAAATGATTAGTATTCTCTATCTACAGTGTGTATAAAAAAACTGAACCCTTTCAAATTCAAATTAGTTATAACGTATTGTAGTAATTTGACAGCTCTAATTGCTTTGAATTAATTGTTGGGTAACAAAAGTTCCTGTACTCATGAGACAAAACTCAAAGAAATAAAAATTAGAAAATTTAAAAGAAATACCGTATTTCTTTTAAATGTTCTAATTTTTATTTCTTTGAGTTTTGTTCCGTGAGTACATTTTAAATTTTCTAATTATTATTTCTTTGAGTTTTGTTCCGTGAGTACATTTTAAATTTTCTAATTTTAATTTCTTCGAGTTTAGTCCCGTGAGTACAAGACCATGTGTTCTTTTACCCAACCATTTATTCAAAGCAATTAAAGCTGTCAAATTATTGCAATACGTTATAGCTAATTTGAATTTGAAAGGGTTCAGGTCTTTTTATACACACTGTAGAGAATAGTAGTAATGTAATGAATTCCTTCAACCCACTGTAATTGTTATCCTGCTCGCTATGGAACAGTTTATCGTATATAAACCGCGGAAATACTGAGTTCTGATTAGCCGAGTGGCTTTGATAATGTTCTAAGATCACAATTGTTAATAGGGCTGTATCTAGACGCGATATTTGGGGG